ACTGCCTACAGCCATAGCAGGTGAGGTAGAGATAACAGAGCAGAAAAAGGCTTTCTAGCTTAAGGAGTCGTTGATGAGTCCAGCATGAATGGGGGGATGAGGCGTCTCCTTCCCTCAGGTGAAGCTGGGGGGAGCCGCTCCATGCATGCCTGTGTGCTCAGTCGCTCAGTCCTGTCAGACTCTTGGTGACCCCATGGACTGTAGCCCGCCAGGCTCCTCTGTCCATGGGATTTTCCAGGCAAGAATACTGAAGTGGGTTGCCATTTACTCCTCCAGGGGATCTTCCCCACCCAGGAATCAAACCCTGTGAATCTCCTGTGTTGGCAGGTGGATTCCTTACCACTGTACCACCTGGGAAGCCCAGCTGCTCAATGAAGAAGGACAAAACTGCTGACCCATGCAGGAGAGGCCCTAACCCTTGTTTCTCCTTTGACACAGGTTGCTGGGACTGTCTGGGCTCTCGGGACCTTGGAGCAGGCCCTGGCCCAGTAGGATGCCCCCGTGTCCTCCACAGCAGAGCAGGAACAGGGTGACACAGCTGCCCATTCCGGAGCCGGAGATGGAACTGACTTGGCAGGAGATCATGTCCATTACTGAGCTGCAGGTAAGCCAGGTAGGGGGAATGAGGTGGTGGGGGGAGGGGAAGCAGTGAAACGGGGAGTTGGGCTGGGATTGGCCCTGGGTGTGGGTGGTGGCAGGGGTGTGGGTGTGGGGGGTGGCGCTGGAGCAAGCAGAGCCCAGGGTCTGGAGATGGAAATGTTCTGGGCACTGTCAAAAGAAGGGCAGGAGTCGAAGAGATCTGGAGGGAAGGCCAGAGCATTGAGGGGGAGGGGTGCGGATGAGCAGGAGATGGCAGTGGTGGGAAGGGAGGATCTGATTGAGGGTGCAAGCTCTCTGGGCAGCCACTCTGCTCGTGTCTCTCAGCCTCACCTCCTGCCCCGCCTTCCCTTCTTCCCCTTCCTCTGTTCTGCCCTCTTCCAGGCCTGCCCATCTTCCTCCTTCATTTCCTCCCCCTGTCCTCAGCAGCTGGGCCCCTTCCCGCAGGTAGCAGAGCTGTAGTTCAGGGGCCTCGGGAAGGGGTGGGGTCAGGCTCTGCCGGGGTCCTTTCCTCCTGCTACTTGGACAAAGGGGTGTCTGTTGGCCTAACAATGATGCCTTTGTCCCCAGCTGGGCTGGAGCAGGGTGGCTCCCCAAGGTGGGTTGGGGGCCCTGTTCTCCCCAGCATGTTCTCTCCTCCTCTCTGCACCTGGGCAGGGACAGAGGGACTGGAGGGGAAAGGGCAGAGCTGACGGTGGCTCCCCAAAGTAACTCTCTGCCCCAGACCTGGCACTGTGCCCACTCCATTCTCTCCCCTGCCGCCAGCCTGGGCCCCCAGGATCTGCCCTAAGCCCTCTTCCCACACAGCAGCTCCCTCTGCTGGGCACCCAGGGCATGGCCAGGGTCTGAACTTGACCCTTTGACCCTAGATCACGGCAGCAGGAAAAGGGTTCCAAGGGTCATCTTGGAGTGACCCCTTGTCTTCCTGAAGAAAATAAAGGGACAAGAGCCATCTCAAACCAGTAAGAACTTCTGAAGAGGATTCCACAACTGTTGTGGCGTTAGGTAGTCCTTTCTGAAGTCTGACTTCAGCGAGTTCCCTTCCTGTCTGAGCTGCTTTCTTCATCAGCTTGCTGTGTCACAACTTTGCCAGAAGCTTTCAATAATTATTAGCAACTTTCTGTTCCCTTGTGATTATCTCACCGGTTCTTTCAGTGGGAGTCAGTTTGGTTCTGAGTGAGAGGGTTTCTTCTCTTTCTCAGCCCGTCGACAAACCTCTCGGTGTCTTTTCTTGCAGGGTCTGAATGCTCCAAGTGAGCCATCGTTCGAGCCCCCAGCCCCCGTCCCATACCCAGGGCCCCCACCACCTCCAAGTTACTGCCCCTGCTCTATCCACTCGGAGCCTGGCTTTCCCCTTCCTACACCACCTTATGAGCTCCCAGCACCCACGTCTCATGTCCCAGACCCTCCGTACTCCTATGGCAGCAACATGACCGTACCAGTCTCCAAACCACTGACCCTCTCGGGCCTGCTGAGTGACCCGCTCCCAGACCCCTTGGCCCTCCTGGACATTGGGTTGTCAGCAGGGCCGTCCAAGCCCCAAGAAGACCCAGAATCTGACTCAGGATTATCCCTCAACTATAGTGACGCTGAATCTCTTGAGTTGGAGGGGACAGAGGCTGGCCGGCGTCGCAGCGAGTATGTAGAGATGTACCCAGTGGAGTACCCCTACTCACTAATGCCCAACTCCTTGACCCACCCCAACTATGCCTTGCCACCTGCCGAGACCCCTTTGGCCTTAGAACCCTCCTCAGGCCCTGTGCGGGCCAAGTCTACTGCGCGGGGGGAGGCGGGGAGTCGGGATGAGCGGCGGGCCCTGGCCATGAAGATCCCCTTCCCTACGGACAAGATCGTCAACCTGCCGGTGGATGATTTCAATGAGCTGCTGGCACGGTACCCGCTGACGGAGAGCCAGCTGGCCCTGGTCCGGGACATCCGAAGGCGGGGCAAGAACAAGGTGGCCGCCCAGAACTGTCGCAAGAGAAAGCTGGAGACCATCGTGCAGCTGGAGCGGGAACTGGAACGGCTGGGTAGCGAGCGGGAGCGGCTTCTCCGGGCCCGAGGCGAGGCCGACCGGACCCTGGAGGTCATGCGCCAACAGCTGACGGACCTGTATCGTGACATTTTCCAGCACTTGCGGGATGAAGCAGGCAACAGCTACTCCCCCGAAGAGTATGCGCTACACCAGGCTCCTGATGGGGCCATCTTCCTGGTGCCCCGGGGGACCAAGATGGAGGCCATAGACTGAGCTGGCCAGAGGGGTGGGACTGGTGATGGGGGTTTCCTGCATTCTCTTCCAATAAAGGTCCTCCCCATCCATGAGGCCCAGGGGGAGCTGAGTTCTGCAGACCAGGGGACCACAGTGGGAAACCTGGCATTTGGAAGGTCCGAGGTGTGTTCAGTGAGGCTTGCCTGGAGGCAAGGATGTGAGGGGAGGGCTGGAATCTCTCTTCCATGGTTCAGTTTTCTAGGTTCCCAGTCTCGATTGAGCTTCGGTATATAAAGCACTCTACACAAATAGCCTTCTGCTGTGTCTTCTTTCTCAAGGGAGGGTGATGAATCTGGGGTGCTCCTCAGGGCTCACTGCCTGTTGGTGGGGAGGGTGTTCTGCTGAGCTTGCTTCTCTCCGTCCCCTATGACTGTAGGAGGACGGGACACACAACAGTTGGGCCTGAGCAGTGTGATCTACCGCTTTCAATCCCTTTCTCAGAGCCAGAGGCCATGAATGATTTAAGGAACCCCACCTTCTCGGCTGGCCCATTTATAGAGCTAGGATTGCTGCCGGAGCTGGCTAGACCCTCTGTTCCTGACTGTTAGTACTGAAAAGCCTAGAATGTCCAATGCCCACAGGACAGGCCTTCCTTGGTTGGAACAAGAGAATTGGATTGGAACCCAACTTTCACCCTGATACTGGGAAAGACTGAGTGTAAGAGAAGGGGGCAACAGGATGAGGTGTTTGGATGGCATCACTGTCTCAATGGACACGAGTTTGAACAAATTCCACAGGGAAGCCTGGCGTGCTGCAGTTCACAGGGTCTGAGTCGACCACCACTGAGTGAACAAGTTTGAGAGGATTTGACACCCAGGACTGGATAAAACTTGCTCCACAGCAACACACCATATGCATTTTGGTTAAATCATCCATCTCCCTGGTTATGTTAGATGTTATCCAATTCTTGTTTTGGTGTTCTGCCCCTCCCCCACCCCTACTTCCCTTCTAGATCCTTGAAGATCTGGGGCCTTTTGCTAGTGTTTTTTTAGGACACAGTGAAGTTTCAAACTCCCTCCACACCACACCTTTGTCCTGCTGCTTGGATTTGGGGCAGTTCCCAATCTTCCTGATCACTAGATTATATAAGCATTTTGCTTCTATTTAACACTTCTATTCCATTTCACTAGAGAAAGCTTACTTTTAAGTTCTTGATACTCATTACAGTTGTGAGACAAAAAAATCATAAGTGATTGAAATACAAAGTTAATGTCTACAGATCCAGAAAACGTTGGTCTCCACAGAACAAAAACTTCCTAATAGATCTGAAGACAGTCCATCTTGTCAACTTTCTCAAAAACTTGAAAATGTAGGGTCAGGTAGCTTGAGATAGCAAACTAAAGTTTTTTCATTCAAATCAAACCCACAAAGATGGTAATTCAGAGACTAATCTAGACATTTATTCAACAAATTATTTAATAGGCACGTAAGCTCAAGGCATCATTCTAGGCATTGGAGATATGGTCAACAGGAGACACCTCTCATGGAGCTACACTGTAGTGGGAAAGATTTTCAGACACATGTACTTATCAGTACTTCAGGTCAAAGACAGAAGGGTGGGTCACAAAAATTTGAATGAGGAAATTGCCTTCCTCAGTTACTTCATATAAAAAAACAGGAATTTCCTTACTCTTAATTCTGGTTAATAACAGACTGATGGATTCACAAGCTTTCTTTTACCAAGGATGGAAACAAGCTAGAGAAAAATATAAGCACTTGCTGAAAGTTATAACTACTGCTTTCAAACACATTTTTAGGCTTATTTTGCGAAGGTGAAGTAAAGGAGGTAAAGGAGGTCTGCTGGCTCTTTTTGAAGCTGAAAATAATTGACCAACAAAAGCTTGTTCATTCCTAGGAAAGGTCCACTATACTCAAGAACTTAACAGATAATTCATCCCAACTTAATCTGAATTATCATGTAGCTTTGCTTAAAGCAATCATATTGCAGTTTTCTTTAAACAATTACAGTTGACTATAAGAAACACTAATAAGAAATGAGGGTACAATTCTGGTGTACCAGACACCTGGCTGTCATTAATTCCCCTATTTCCCATTCTCAATCTTCATCTGGTAAAGAACAAGCAGCACCAAGTTATTTACCATAAATATCATGGAGAGAAAACAAGGCACAAAACCAAGTTAAATGCAGTTTATTTTTTTAAAGTTCATTCACAAAATTGAATGATTCACGCTGCACAGCAGGTAGTAAGTAACTGCATAGCAGTGACAATCAAGCACCAAGAGGCTCGGATAAAGGTCCTCATTAAGGATGTTTCTGCAAAAACAAAAAAGAAAAGTACATAAGCAGATGAAAGAGTCTACAATTATACCCATTCTCTTCACTGAGAACCCAATTGTTTTAATAGTGTTTGCTGGCTAGTCTATGAGGGACAGCTTGTCATTTTTCTTTGGAAATACTAAGCATTGTTACTTTATAAAAGCTTACCTTTTTATCCATGAGCTTGGACTGAAGTTTCTGGTTTTTAAGAGGTGATATGCCTGTGGTAGCAGAGTCCTCCCTAGAAAAGTAAACAGCCTTTAGAACTAGCTTTTTTTCAGAGACAAGTTCCATCTCAGGCTAACCCCCCACCTCCCACTAACGGCCCACCCAACCTCCCACAAGCATTTGGGGGGAAGATTCTAATATTACTTTGAGCCATTGTTTTAAGGAAATAGGTCAAAGGAAGGTAAGAAATATAGAAATTAAAGGGTAAATATATATCACAGTAGAGAGGTAATTAAAAGTGCTCACTTCCTTCATTTGGGAGCCACCAAGAGTAGGGTGTCAATTTAAAGCAACTCAGTTCCAGAAAAACCAAGTTCAGCTTAACTGGACTAGTTTTGGCTCAATATATTAAGGAAAATGAGAAGGCTTGATTTTAGAGAGCTATATGGATGTAAGTAAAATCTGTTCTTACCTATCAGCATAGCAATAAAACCTTTTCTCCTGGTTCTGACCGCTAGTCCTAAGAGTCAGGTGTGCCTTACTCTTGTCTGCCTCCTTCCTTGCGATGATCACTGAAACTTCACTCTCCTAGCTTTCATGGAGTGCCGTGGCCTGCCCCTGGCTTATCTGTACTCCACATACCACAAGTGTCTACTCTCAGCTGTAGAGTGTCTGGGCTCGGAGCCATTCGCGCTATACTTGCTAGCAGTTCCTAGTAGCTGAACATCTCTCCTGGATCTTTAAAGGCATTGTCACGAATCCTGAGGTATCTGCAAACTCCCTCAATAGTTAAGGTTCCACCTGCCATTGCAAACTCAGCCAGTATCAAGCTCATGGAACTATTACCCATGCTTTCCCACCCACCTCCACCTCCCACCCAACCCCACCCCAACCCTCCCCAAAATTCCAGGTAACACACCCATGGGATGGAGTACACAATCCTAGTGGTAAACAAATATCTATACTACGAGGTACAATGGCACTGAAATTGAGGGCACCAAAGCGAAGGCTCAAAGGAAGCTATGTACAGATAACAATGATTGGATAATAACGTTATAAAGGTTTAAAAGTCATTTTCTATACAAGCAACATTTTAGGATGGTTGTGTGATCTTGTGCCATATTTAAAGGAAAACTGCAGTTAGCACGTATTTAAGTAGACGATACAGTTTCTCACCACATGAATTTTTAATCTCCATATAGTAAGTGGTCAATCCATAAACTACTATAAAGACCCACCCAACCAGGACAGAAACTGCAGTTTTCCTTTAATGTAAGCCTGTTTTTTTGTGTGTGTTGAATAAAATTCTTAATGGCACTAGTCACTTTAAAAAAGGTCTTCCCCCAAACTAATTTGTGGATTTACGAGGTGGCATTAGCCAGCAGCTGGTTTCTATTCTCTGGCAGAGTTTTGAACTTGAATTGATAGAAGCATTCAACATGAGGGGTAGTGGGTAGGGAAGGTCCAAAACTCTGCCAGTCCCAAATCCATACAGTTGTCATTCCATTCAAGAGGGTATTAAATCTTTTATTGATTACACATGATAATGGATGATACACAAGCTTCATTCCCATCTATAACTTTTATCTGGTACCATAATTCAATTTAGATATATTGCATAGGATGTGCCAACAATCATTAATAACCAAAAAAAAAAAAAAACCTCCATGACTTTGCATGGGTGACCCTTTTAATGGTGAACTCCAGGTCACAACACAGTAACTGTCAGTTCAACTACACCAAGGTTCTGAAGACAACAGCTTCTCCACCAAGCAGGTTGTAAATAAATTTCAAATGGAACCTGGCATCACCCTGAAGGAATTCTAACTTCACACTGTTGGGGTAGTTTACCAAAATGGCTTCAGAGTAGACTAACTTTACACAGCACATTAAAAAAAAAAAAAAAGACATTTATTCAGCGTCATGATCAGACTATTACATTTAGCAATCAACAGCATGGGTGCAAAAAAAAAAATCTACATTAAAACCCTTTGTTGGAATGCTTTACACTTTCCACAGAACAGAAACTAAAATAACCTGTTATACAATTAGTCACAAGTACAGTCCTCGAGTTTTTTGCCCATACACATGAGTATTGTCTAAAACATGTCTTCTTTGTAGCAGCTAGGCCCTGCCACCACTGTGCTTGGCTGAGTTCACAAATCTGTTGTAACCTGTAGCTTCCCTGTCACTTCTCTGGCTCTCCTCTCCTGCTAAGCTTTGTTTCCTGTTGAACAATATGGAATAAAGTTGTTAATCTAAACATATTAAGACTCAAGGCTACAATCCAATAGCAAGTTGTTTCCCACAAATTTTGCTGATCTGAATATTAACTTAATATCCACAATTTTACTGTAATTATAATGTTAACTATGTTGCACTGCTCAGCTATATTAGGGTTACTGGGTTCATCGTAAATTACAATTAAGTGAGAACAGCAACAAAAAAAGGTGTTCACTTACCTGGCAGTAATTAAAACCTTCTGCCACTGCCATAGCTGCTGCTGCTGCTGGAACCACCATAGCCACCTAAGAACAAAATTTATATTACATTAAGTTTTATAAGTATGAACAGTAACGATGTTTTTATAGTTGGGGCTTAACTGATTTACATTGCATAAGTTGAAAATCACAGGTTGGAGCTCACGTGATTTTCCCAACTCAAACTATTTTAAGTCAGTCATTTAAAATTTTCTCAACGTTTTAAATTGCCAGCTTTTTGGTTTCTACATTTGCACTGCCAAAAGATCTAATGCTTTCCTAAACAGCATTAGTTTAGCCCTCCAATGCCACATATATACCATACCTTGGTTTCGTGGTTTGGCAAAGTATTGGCCTCCACCACCATAGGGGCCAGAACTTCTGCCTCCAAAGTTTCCTCCTTTCATGGGTCCAAAATTTGAAGATTGATTGTTGTAATTGCCAAAATCATTGTAGCTTCCGCCACCTCCAAAATTGCTTCCTAAGAATTGAAAAGAGGACCTTTATATGTTACTCAGGGAAAATGAGAAATCCTAGTGTTCAGAGTAAAAAAAAACTGCTTGATCTGCCCTGCTCTCCAATTTCGATTATCTTTGTATTTCATGGGCAAGGCGTTCAGTTGAAATCCAATAACTAAAAAATTCACCCAACTCACCATACCATAATAAAAAGGTACACATTCTCTTGACTTTAAGGCCTCTACCCAGGCAGGGGAACAGCAAACACATGCTGGATACATCAACTAAGCACCTAAGATCCCAAGAGTTAACACTAAATCCTGCTAGAAACTAATCTAATTCCAAATGAAGACACCACTATCCACTTAAGCATCCATCTATTTGGGAGTGAGGCGGCCCCAGCTTAAAGCTAGGAGGTAGCATTGCAAGCCCATTAAAAAAAGTACCATGCAGCACAACACACAATGCTTTAAGACCATCAAATCCTCCTAGGGATAAACTCTAAAAGGCTAATCTAGCTATTGCGCCAAATACTTGGATCACTGGATACCTACCACTACCACCGCCAAAGCCGCCTCCGCCTCCACCGTTGTTATAGCTGTCATAGCTGCCACTCCCGCCATAGCCACTGCCCTGGTTTCCATAACCCTGTCCACCACTTCCATAGCCTCTGCTTCCTCCAGAGTAACCAGGGCCGCCTCCTCCATAACCACCTACAAGAATACAAGTCTTCTCAATAAGACAAAAGTATTCAGCAGTCAAATTCTGTGCAAGCACGGCTAAAAGCCTGCTCACAACATGCTATTAGGTCATAGTTGAGCTTATCATGCACTAGGGTTTTAGTCTCTACTAGCCTATTCTAAAAGTTGCCAAAATTTTTTACCTGTGGTTCTTTAACAAAACTTACCGTCATTACCAAATCCATTATATCCATCCCCACTGCCACCATATCCGCCACCACCACGGCTGCCACCAAAGCCACCTAGAAGAAAGTGGAATTTAAAAACTAGGTCTAAAGGATGTGGATTGCATACAAGTTAGCTTATATTAAGTATAAATTTAAGGAAGCATTCAATTAGAACTATTCCCCTATTTAACAGTTACTGGTTAGAGAACCCAGAACTACATTTTGATTAAAATGTAACTTTCAACAAGTCATCAGGGGGTCATTACAATTTTACCATTAACTCTTTATTAGTAAACTATAGCCAAACATACCTCGACCACTGAAGTTTCCTCCACGACCAAAGTTGTCATTCCCACCAAAACCACCTCCACGACCACCACCAAAGTTTCCAGAACCACTTCGACCTGAAGAATCAAGATGAAGTGTTGGGCTGTACAGACTAGAATTATCAAAATTATGTTTACGGTTTAGTTAAGTAGCAAACTCCCTCACCTCTCTGGCTGGATGAAGCACTAGCCATCTCTTGCTTAGACAGGGCTTTTCTCACTTCACAGTTGTGGCCATTCACAGTGTGGTATTTCTGAACTAGACGATTTTGAAAATAAACAGATCATCTCAGAATTCAGTATACAGCATGGATTTCGGAACCCTTAACAAATGCCAGCCACCTGATACTTACTGACAATCTTGTCTACAGAGTCATGGTCATCAAAGGTTACAAAAGCAAACCCTCTCTTTTTGCCACTGCCTCGGTCAGTCATGATTTCAATTACTTCAATTTTCCCATACTGTTCAAAATAATCTCTCAGGTGATGTTCTTCAGTGTCTTCTTTAATGCCACCAACAAAAATCTTTTTCACAGTTAAGTGGGCACCAGGTCTTTGAGAATCCTAAGAGAAATTAACTTTTGTTATTGAAACTTATTTAATCCTCCAAATGACTAATTCAAAGAGGAAAAAGGTACTTACTTCTCTTGACACGGCCCTCTTTGGTTCCACAACTCTTCCGTCCACCTTGTGTGGCCTTGCATTCATGGCCGCATCCACCTCCTCCACCGTGGCGTATGTGACAAACCCGAAGCCTCTGGAGCGCTTGGTGTTTGGATCCCTCATTACCTTAAAATGTTTAACACATGTTAAGACCCCCGAATGGTTGACTTTTCTACCTTGACTAAGGCAACAAGAAACTTTATTACCAACCTTTTATCTCAAGTCCTTCCATTTCCCACTAACCATCTACAATAAATCAGTTGGGTGCTTTTTTAATCAGTTAAAGCCACACCATCCTATTACGATTCAAATAGCCGCAGCAACTTAAGTCAAGGAAACCAACTAGTTCTACAACCCTTTATCTCTTTTAAGTCTTACCACACAGTCTGTGAGAGTTCCCCATTGCTCAAAATGGCTCCTCAGACTCTCATCAGTTGTTTCAAAGCTCAATCCTCCGATGAAGAGCTTCCGCAGCTGTTCGGGCTCTTTGGGAGACTAGGAATGGAGGAGGGGAAGAAGTAAGTAGAGCTATAACGCAAACCACCTTTCAGGTGCAAGAAAGAAAACAGATAGCAACGTACGAAGCACTTATTGTTCCTTCGGGGCGCAGCAAACCACGTGCTTCTCCCCACCGGGGGGAGGCAGTACGTTGGGGGCTGGGAGGGCTCGGAGGCTCTGAGCGCATGCGTCCCTTACTCTCCCTCCGACGCACGCGCCAACAAAAGGACTAGGAGAGAGAACTACACGGCCCACATCCGTCTGTAGCTGCTCTTTTAAAAAGTAGCCACTGGGACAAGGTAAAAAACAGACTAAACGTGCGTAAGAGTTTTGCAAGGGGCACCGAGCAGGCGTGAATGCTAAGGGTCGCAAGACAGCAGCCTCATGGCGACGAGGACAAAATGGCGACCTCAACTCAGGGAGGGGTAGGCCTGGGCAGCGATCTCAGAACTGTCGACAGGGCTGGGGCAAGCAGCCAAACAAGCTGTACCCTGCTAAACTCAGGAAAGGAAGAGGAAAGGATATTCAACTGTAGAAAGCTTCTTACCCACCTCTGATTTAGACATGACGGCAGTGGAGGCGGGGAAGTCTTCAACGATGCTTTCTCGGTGGCGTCCACGGGCAGAAAGGAGTAACCTCACGAACGTATCTGCCAGCCTACCTTCGGCCTCCCTTTTTTATCCCGCCTCCGCGCTTTCGGCATTGGTAGACTCCACCCCCGAATAGCTCTGATTGGATATTTGAAACATATTTCCCCTACCATTGGTTTCTGGTGCTGCATTACTGTGTAACGTCATCCATTTGGGCGTTCTACGTAGTCTCCACCCCTCGGGGTCTATTGGCTCTCGAGTAATATTCTTCTTAACTAGTGTGATTGGCTAGTAATTCAATCATTCATGTTTGAATGTACTTAGGCTATTTAAAGAAATGTTTTAATCCTCTACGGTCTTAATTTTATACTCAGTTTACCTGGCAAGCCGTGATTAATACTATGCATCAGAAAAGTAGTTAGCAAGTTACAATATTTTCTTTTTTTGGCAACGACTGCCTGCTGAGCGCATGTGTAGGAAAATGGCGAGTTTACGCAGGCGCGTAAGAAGTTCCGCCTGGCGCTAAGAACACGTGAAATGGCGGGCAGGAGACGGCGGCGAACCTAAGGCGCCTGCGTAGTGGCGGGAGTTGGGCCCCCTTTTGCGCAGGCGTAATGGGCGGGGAAAGGGTCCGGGCTCAGGATTGGTCGCGCAGGCGCAGGGAAGGATCCGTTTTGGCGGGCGGTTGGCGTTGCGCAGGAGGCGGCAGCGGCGGTGGCTTGTGGCCTCACCACAGAAGAACAGGGGAGACGTTAGCGTGAGTGATCGGTCTCGATCCCGGGTAAGTGGCGGACAGTCTTGCCTACGCATACGAGGTCTTGAACCGACTCCAATTGGTCCCGTTATTGTGTGTAATGAATGGACCGCGGGGTGGGGGATCGTGAAGGGGGAGCGGTGGGTCCACCCAACCAATGGAAGAACAGGGGCGGGATGTTTTATCCCCGTAGGTTCTATGGAGCTTTGCAGCCGAAGAGTTTGACTGGCGAGTGTATAGGCCAATTGGGTCTGCCTTTAGCTGCCAACAGACCGGTCCTTGGGCCATCGGTATGTAGGAGGAGGGCTTGCTCCTCCTGAGCAGCGGCTCACTGAGCCAATGAGCACGAAGCGCGCGGTAGGTTGGGCTCCTCAGAGAGGCAGCGGTTTGACTCCAATGGGGGATGCGGGAGTCGAGCGCTTAAATGGATAGACCAAATCTGGAGCCAGTAGGCACACAGCCTATTGAAAGCGCTCGGGCTGACTGTCCAATCAACGCTCCAGCAGAGGGAGGTCTTAGATTTGGGGATGCGAGGATGAGGAGTCGCTGCCTGCGAAGGCGCGTGGGGGTGGGCATTTTATCCACAATGATTTGAACGAAGCCTTTGGCCTTCCAGGCCACACACTTACCTGGTAGGGAAGATGTAAGTTTGCTCCTGAATGCCTGAATTTTGGCTTTTGTTTTCCCACATCGGTACATCCCACAATCCCACATTTTTAGGTTGGGGGGGGGTGGGGACAAGGAATGTTTTTTTATTTTGAAAACTCCTTTACGAAAACTGACTTGAAATATTAGAAAGTATAGGATAAATCTCTTTGTACTGTTGCGGAAAGGTACCCAGAAAAAGTCAACATAATAGTAATAATGCATATTTCCACGGACAAAGAAATTTGTAAATCCATAGAAAAAGTTTTGGCAAGCCTAATAACAAAGGGTGTTACCTCCAGGGTTACAGTGGGATGGAGTCAGGTTGAATCTCCAATGTTTAAATGTTTGAAGGGATAATAATTTGTGATTAAAGTTAAATTTTAAAGCCAATTGTTTTTGTGTTTTTTAGTTACAAGCAAGTACTTCTCACCACCTCCTTACACCTGAAAAAAGTGCTATTTTTCCGTTAAGAAGTAAGGTGACCCTCGATTTTAAAATACAAATTTTGAAAAGGTGACTTTCTGTGTACTTGCTAGGCATCATGCTAAGTGTTTTACAAGCATTGCCCATGTCCTCAAAATCTTTTAAGTTCTTCTCTTCTCTGAGGATCTTTTCTCTGCATCTGTATCTCTCTAAGTCATTACAGATCTCCTAAGCCCTTTCTGCTGTTCTTTGAGGATATCTGGATTTAGATAAAAAAAGTTGCTTAAGGAGGTTAATACTTAGGATGTTGGAGATAGGACTCATTCATCACCTGGGTTATTTTTTTTGCCTTTTAATTATATTTCCTTCAAAGTATTTTATAAGCAGTCCATATCGTGTTGGTAATGGCCATTCTACTCTGTCCGGTATATTTTAGTAAAACATTTTAATTACATATTGACTGTATCAGAGTCTGTATTGCTCTATTATTTACTGATTTATTGCCAAAGAGAAAATCTTTAAATATTGTAATAAATTCAGATACACATGAAGTACTGTTATGAGTAGAGACCTTTCTGACATACAAAAGGAAGATGGTTTTAACTGAGCTTATTGTGAACAGAGGAAAGATTTTTCTGTTTGGCACTTGCAAAAGGAAAACCTACTTTGTACTTGCTTGTAAGCTGTTTGTAGGTATTCTAATAATGCAGCTACTTTGTTTTTAACATTTATAAGAACTAAAGTGATACAGATTAAGGGTGAAAAAAAAAGTGAAAGCTTTGGTTGTCCAGTCCTGTCTGACTCTTGCGACTCCATAGACTGTAGCCTGCCAGGCTCCTGCCTGGCTCCTGCCAATTCCTCATGGAATTGTCCAGGCAAGAATACTGGAGTGAGTAGCTATTCCTTTCTCCAGGGGATCTTCCCGAACCAGGGATCGAACTCTGGTCTGCTGCACTGCAGGCAGACTACCATATGAGCCACCAGGGAAGCCCCATCTGTTCCTGATTTATTTAGGTTTGAAAGGAATACAGTCTTGATCTACTATAGAGTTTCTCAGTCTCAGCAATATTGACATTTTGAGCCTGATAAATGCATCTCACCTCCCCCACACCTCTTCTTGTGACAATCAAAATGTCACCAAATGTCCTTTGAGGGAAGGGTGCAGAGTTTCCACTTGAAAACCATTGATCTGAAATGACAGATGGTAGAATCGATTATCTTGTCAAAATCTTTTATTTTACCAATTGGAATTTAGAGAGAAGATGGGTGAAGTGTTTAGGAAGTGTTCTTTGGTAAATGGATCACTAAGTCCTTATGATTATCTCTTCAGATGTAGAGTGATCACTGTTTGATTGGATAAAAGGAAAGCTACATTAACGTTTTTACCATTTCTTTCCATTTAAATACTGATTGCATCTTGTGTTTGGGTTCCTCAAATAATGGCAAATAAATTTTTGGAGAGGTAGACTTTTCTTCAGATGCTTCTTACATTCTCATCTGACTTAATCCTCTTTCCTTTAAAGTTTCACTATACAAATAGATATGCAAAGCATTCTGACATTTTCTCATTTATAGTACTCTATTTCATTTTTTTAAAAACACAGGTTGATTTCTGCTGAACTGATTTTTCAGCTGTTTAGAGACCTATACTTTGGGGGAAAAGAAATACTGACTTGAAGAACAGGTAAACCAAAACATGCCTCCTTAGGTTACTCTCTGAGTAGATTCCTTCCATCTCCATCCCTACCTACTTTGGTCTATAAACAAATTAATCAGTGATCCTTTATTTGATGTTATTTAATAGTATATTTTTATTTGAAAATTTTCAGGACTTGCACCTAGACTTTTTGGTTTACTGTGATGTGTGAGTAAAAGTTGCTTGTTTTATTTTAAGTTCTCTTACACTGTCATAGTTAATAGGTCTGATAAACATATCTCTCTGGTGGGGAAATTTTGGTGAGTAGTTTTTAATTGAAATCTTGAGACTTTCATATTGAAAATCATAAGTTTAGACTTTTATTTCTTGCTTTTGGAGAACTTGTTTTGATTGTTAACTTAGACACTCTTAGCAATACAAAATGCTGAGTGTATGTTACAAAAATTTCAGACACTTGTGCTTAGAACTTAGAGGCATATCCTGTTGCATCCAAACATAAAATGATTGTTATCTAAAAGGGAAAATAACACATCTTCATTAGTCTGTCTGAAATCCGGTAGGTGGAAAGCTTCTCTCGGGTAGTAGGTGAGCAGGATGATAACTGGGGAAAGACAAAGACAGCATACCTTTGAATTGACTGGATTTTTATATATCTAGGAAAGTTCTGGTGATTTTCAGAGCCCTTGACAATATTTCTGGAAAACAGAGAAAGCTATCCAGGGTACAGAGGTTTCTGAGGAAGACTAGTATTTTTTGCTTTTACCATTTATTTAACCACATAGCATAATTTTTATATCTTATTGAAATAGCTCATATCACATCTGGTAAAGCATTTTTTTCTTGTCCTTTTACTTGGTCTGTTTTTGTTTCCATTCACCTAATATGAAATTGGGCCTAAATGCTCTGGATGTTTACTTTAAAAGCAATAAATTATAGTGCTAGATATCATTTATAACTGACTCAGTATGGCTGATATTTACACATTGTTATTGATGACCCTGGACTCTGGGCAATTGTCTTTTTTCTCTGACATAAATTGATTTCCCTTCCCTCCTTGTAGAGGATGGCTTTAACTGATCATTGTACTAATGGGAAGGAGTCCAGGTCATCCTGAGAAGAGTTGGCTTGTGCAGAGTCCAGGACGCAGATTTGTTGGATTTCTGTAAGCCACTCGAAGCCACATATTCATTTCTGATGACAACTTTACACTTGTGTTGGCAGAACACCCACAGTGACAACTGTTGCCTATGTTTAGTCTGCCCGGGAGCTCTACCAGCTAGCATGTTTGGGAGAAAACCTACTCTGTTCTTGTTAGCAGCTATGTAAATATTAGACCTTTCTGAATTTGTCTTCTCAGATCTGCCATCCTTTTAGGTAAATTGCATCCTCTGATTGCCTCAACTTACCTTTAAAATGAAAGATTAGAGGATTTAGACATTCTTTGGGTCATTTAAAGCACGGTTTTTTTTTTTTTTTTGCATCAGTAATTAGTTTTATAAATGTTTGGCTTATTATTTTTAAACTTTTATTTCCCCTGTGTCTTAGTTTCTTGTGGCTGCAATTACCACAAACCTGGTGGCTTCAAACAACAAGAGTTTATTTTTTCACAATTCTGAAGGCCAGAAGTCTGCAATCAAGGTGTTGAGCCCATTCTGGAGGCCCTAGGGGAGAATCCCTTCCTTGCCTTTCTAGCTTCTGGTGGTTGTCTATTTTCCTTGCCTCCTCACTCCCTGCTCTGTCTTCACAGTGCTTTCTCTATATGTCTCTCTCAGAACTCCTGCCTCTTAAAAAGATACGTGTGATTGCATTTAAGGCCCACCTAATAATCTGGGGTAAATTTCTCCTTTCACATCTTTAAAGCACATCTTTTGCCATATAAATAGTCACAACTTTGAGGGATTAGGTCATGGATATCTTTGTGGGGGGGGTGGGGTGGGGGGCACCATTCAGACTACTATACCCTGGTTCTTTAATCCCTATCCAAATAAATATTACCTAATTCAAAAAAGAAAAGGTTATTTTTTTAAATGAGAAGCAAGTGGTGAGGAGTAGGGGAAGTCAAAGGGAGCCATTTAGTCCTTAGTTTCTTATGGAAGGAATTGGCTAGGTGATAACTAACAGTTTCTCTAGACCTAACATTTTTTATGAAGTGACTCCTAGATTGTCCTGGGAGTTTATTTTTGGAGTCAATTTTAAATGCAAATCAAGAACTCGTTCTTATATTTTGGGCCAATGTAGTCCAGCTGGGTTTCCCTAGAACTTGAGGGACAGAAAACTGAGTTGTTGACTGGTTATCATT